AAGTGATGAGGGCTGGACTAGGTGGTGGATGTCACAATGGTGAAGAAAAGATGAGTGAGATTTGTTAAAAAGAGTAGAATTGTTGATTCCTTTGGTGTACATTTCTCAACTGAATACATTTTGTAAGCATATGTACAGGGTGTTATGGACAAATCAAAAGTGAATAAGAAGGATGGTAAATATCAGTCAGAGATGACTAGGTGATTTAAAACCTATATCATTTGGAAAATAGTGCACCACATGGATGGATGGTAGGGTATAGCATTAGTTTTTAATATAAAATAATTTCAACTAATTGAATTTAAAGCAGTGTATTAAATGAAAATGTTTGGTAAGGCATCACAATATTGGTCAGTATTGAGGACAGGAATAAAAGGATATTACTATAGTAGTCACTATTGCAAAGTAGATACTAAAAGGAAATAATTGAAATCATGAAAATTAATGCCATCTTTAAGGAAAAATGTCTTGCAGGAGAAAAGTGGGATCAAAAACTACTTTAGACAGTATTCATATGAATAATTAAAATGCAGAAAATGAATAAGAAAGGGAGCATTATGAGTGTGAGGAGAAGAAATTATTCACAATGGAAACCATGAAAGGGAAGAAATTCCAAATGGAAGGGACAATTAGTAGTGTCAGTCACAATTGAGACCGTGTTGGAATGCGGATAAAGAGAGATTTGACTGAGGATGTACACGTTAATCTGAAATAGAAAATTATAGGAAAGAAAATAGACTGTAAAAGACTGGACTTCAAGACTGCTTTCTGGAATGTTAGTTTTTAATTGTGGTTTGTTAACAGTGTCTGCTAACTTTCCATCCCTGAACTTGGCATGTAACTTGCAATCATTTTTCTAACCTTACATGACTTAGACATCTATATGGATAATTTCTGTTATTTGGTCTTTCAGTAAAAGGTCTCTTTCACCAGTGATCTTATTTTTCATTCTGTTGTAGTCATCCACTTCTGCAGTGCTTATTATCAGATGAAATTGGTGAACCTACAAAATTATTGATTCAGGCAGCCTCATTTTTAAATGCTAGTTCCTAGATTTCTAGCTTTCCTATTTAAATATTCTTACTGTTTTTTTCTTTTGGTCCTAGGACTTGAACCCAAGGCCTTTCACATAATAAGCACATGGTCTACTACTACTGAGCTACACCCTCAGCCCTCACTGTGTACTGTATTTTAACTTGTTCAATAATCCCTTTAATCTTTACATGTTAGCATTGCATTCTCATTTTCTTCCTATCCAGTTTAGATCTGTGTTTCATAATTTTAATAACTCTTACTGATACCTTAACTTCTGTTGCTCCTCTTTGATTTTTGTTGCACCCTCCTGAAGCCACCCAAATTCAGTATGAACTCTGCAATATGATTTCTTTCCTTATGCCTAGTGAGAGAAGGAAAGTCTTATAAGAGCACAGATTGGTGAGACTATAAATTCATAATCACCACCTATCTCTCTGGCCATCACTACTACCTGGTAACTCAGTATTTTCTGGGGGCATCTTATTCTTTCACAAAGAGGATTTAAAATTTTCAGTTCTTATCAAATCTCTCCCTATGTTTGCTCTTATTCTTGGTAGATAGTGTCATATCCTTTTCGTACAAAAAATGAAGGCCATTAGATCAGAATTACAACTTTCTGACACTAGAGCTATAAGCTTACCTGCAAATGTATCTAACCTATCCTTTAGTTGCAGTGAAAGGAGATACTTTTTCAGCTTTACTTAAGATTCAGTCCCTCCATCTGTCTTCTGGTTCCCATTTTCTGCCTCCTTCTCATTCTTGGTGATCATTCTGCTTGCTCTTTAATTATCAATTTCTTTCTCTTAACTGGCTTACATGAGCATTTACTTATTTCTTTGTTCATGATCTTAAAAAGGACCATTGGGCATGTTGGTGCATGCCTGTAATCCTAGCATTTGAAAAGTTTAGGTAGGAGGATTACTTGAGTTTGGGACCAGCCTGGGCTACAACTATGTAGTTGTAGTTCAAGACCTACCTGAACTACATGGTGAGATCCTATCTCAAAAAACTGAAAAATAAATATATAAAAAAAGAAAGATTCCTTCTTTGATCCTATAATCTCCTGTAGGTCCTGTACTTGCCCATCTTTCCCTCTTTACAGTGCAAGTTCTTAAAAGTTAACCACTTGCTATGTTTATATCTGTTCCTCAGCAACTTCTTTCTCTAATCTACTCTTATTAAAGCTATCGATAAGTCCCATACCATTATTTCCAGTGTACATTTTTGATCATCCTACTTGGCCTCTCACAGACTTTTACTATAATTGTCCAGTTTTCTTAAAACCCCATCTTGCATTGGCTTCTGTTGGATCATGAACAGTGATTCTCCTTCTGTCATTCTAAATATAAAGGGAAGCCACTGAAATGTTTTAAGCAAGGAAGGACCATTTTGGTGTGCTAAATAAACAACAGGGAAAGGAGATATATATGACTGAAAGTATAAAGGTCAATTATGAAGCCAGAATAGTATAAGCCAGAAAAGATATTTGTCTAGACTTGAGGCAAATACAAGGAAAATCTAAACAGTAATATCAACAAAGAGTTTTTGATAGATTGGCTATAGAAGTTAAGGAAGGATTTGCATGCTGTTACTTAGGCGCCTATGATAGATGAGATGCCCAAGAATTTCGGAGATTTGGGTGAGCAGATATATTCTGGCCATGTGGAGTTTCAGGACCCTTTAAGATTCTTATAGGAAGTGTTAAGGGGAACAGTTAGGTACATACATCTGAATCTCAAAGAATCTACACATACAAATATTAGGAATGTTGATATTACATAAGTGATCATTTAATTCATTTATAGAAAAATTATCTAGGAAAGAGTACAGAAAAGGAAGGGTTCTGTTCTTCAAGTAGGATGAATTAACAAGGAAAATGGACAGCCTTGGAAAAAACAAGAAAAGAAGCAGATGTTTTTGTGCTACATCAAATGCATCGTTTATCTCAGTTAATGATAATTGCTTATACACGTCCATGTACTCAGTAATTTTAGGGATTATGGGTTGATGTAGTTGAATATGTAGCAAATATTTTTCTATAAAGAGTAAATGTTTTAGGCTTTGAAAATCATGTGATATCTGCTGTGACTTCTCAGCCCTACTGTTGTAGACTGAAAGCAGCCATATATAAAATATTAAAAAAATGAGTATGACTGTGTAATAAAGTTTATAGATACTGAAATTTGAATCTCATATAATTTTCATTTCACAAAATGTCCTTTTGACTTGTTTTTCATTGATTTAAAATATAAAGCCCATTCTTAGCTTGTGGGTTGCACAATAACAGAGTAGACCAAGATTTGGCCCACAGGTGATAGTTTTAATACTTATTTCCTCTAACTCAGCCTGGTGCCTGAACTATAACACTCAGTGTATTTTCATTTAATGAATTCATCTTGAATAAATTGTTATCTGTTTTTTTTGTTTTTATTTTTTGGCCAGGAGTCAGGTCACGAAAAGAGTGGACTTTCTTCTTCAGGCCCTGAAAGCAAGAATTCAGATTTTTCTTTGCATTTAGAGATTTAATTTATTAATAGTCATTGTAACATTTTGTTATTAATACCTGAGTTTTAAAAATACACCTAATAAGTAGAAAAACATGCTGTTACACTTTTGAGAATTTTAATTATCCTTTGTCTTTATTTTTTTTTTTCATTTGGTTTTAGTCATCTAAGATCATAATGTGTCTGTGGACTGTGAACTATGCATTTGTGTTCCAGGAATTTAACGGGAGAGGCAGTATATTCAGATGACTTTGATATTGACAACTTGTGATATAAATCATGAAGCAAATTAACTAGTATAACATTGCAGGTTAATTATGAAGGAAGGCCAAAGATAGTTAAGTTGACCAGAGAGAATTATCTCTTGGGAAGTATTATTTATGTTGAGATTTGAGGTCTATGAAGAACTGGGTGGGGGAGGAGTATCTAGGTGGAGTGATAAATCCTGAAATTTCATGAGATCTCCATATTTTCCAGAAACTGAAAGACTGTTTTAGATATAAGTACTTTGAGATGTCTATATTCAGGGAACCCTTAGTAATTGATTATATAAGCAGATTAGTATGTGTTGGTTTTTCTTGAAGTCAGACAGTTTGTATTAATAGCTTATAAGCATGGGCATCAAAATTAGCTGTGTTAAAAAATGTTGGTTTGGGGGCAGGGATTTAGCTCAGTGGTTCTGGCGCCTGCCTCGCAAGTGCAAGGACCCGAGTTCGATCCCCAGTACCACCCCCCCCAAAATGTTGGTTTCCATTCTTTTCATCTTTATTGAAAACTATTCAGCTAAAATTGCCATGGTATTGTGTGTATGAATCGATAGACAATTGATAATAAACTAATGTAAATAATTACTATATCAAGAAATATTTAGCACCAAACCTTAAATGTGCTGAAACAATAAGCAATAGTCAGAAAGTAGTCTTACATAAGTAACTGTTAAGTCCACAGTATAAAAATGTGGCAAACTAAGCTGTCACCATGAGATATTTTAAGGAAAAGAAAAAGGGTAACAATAGGACTTGTCTTTGTCAGTGGGAAGAAGATAGAACAGAGGTAGGAGAAAAAAGAGGGAGAGAAATAGAATAAACATAAGTAGACGCAAAATAAGAATCCTGTGCAGTAAAAGAGGAGAACAAGAGAAAAAAATTTAAAGAAAAGGAGAAGGATGCTAATAGTTTAGGAGTCTATTCTAGTAGCATTATATTATATAGAGTAAAATAATAAATGTTAATATCTCATACTCATTGCCTAATTGTGTGAGGAGGTCTAAACCAAAGCTGACTATATCTTTATCTCTTCTTCAAAATCTTTGTTTTACAGTATTTCACTTTGAAAGTGAAAATAGGAAATTATATACTTTCATTTTAATATTTAAGATAATATTTGCAAATACTAATTTTAAAATAAAATGTATATACCATATAGTATGTTGTATTTATTTACTCAAAATGTTCTTTTAAGTATTTCAGGCTGCATGTACCAAGTAGTTCAGACGATTGGCTCGGATGGAAAAAATCTTCTGCAGTTACTTCCAATTCCTAATTCTTCTGGAAATCTTATTCCACTAGTTCAATCTCCAGTCATGTCTGATGCTTTGAGAGGGAATACAGGAAAACCAGTGCAAGTTACTTTTCAGACTGAGATTTCCAGCTCCTCCACAAGTGCATCAGTTCAATTGCCCATTTTACAGCCAGCCAATTCTTCAAACTATTTTCTTACAAGAACAGTAGATACAGCAGAAAAAGGTAGAGTTACTTCTGTGGGAACTGAAAATTTTGTTTCATCATTTTCTAAAGTTAATAGTCATGGTGTGAAAATTGATGGACTCACCATGCAAACATTTGCTGTTCCTCCCTCAACACAAAGTGATTCATCTTACATTGTAGTCAATTCCCCAAGTCTTCCAATGACTGTGAAATCTTCAGTTTTGCCTTCTGGGCATCATTTACAGATTCCAGCCCATGCTGAAGTGAAATCTGTACCTGCATCATCATTGCCTCCTTCAGTTCAGCAAAAGATACTTGCAACTGCAACCACAAGTACCTCAGGAACAGTTGAGGCCTCCCAAATACCAACAGTTATTTATGTATCTCCTGTAAATACAGTGAAAAATGTAGTTACCAAGAACTTTCAAAATATTTACCCAAAACCTGTTAAAGAAATAGGAAAACCAATGATACTAAATACCACACAAATTCCAGCGAAAGTTGCTACAGAGACACAATTAAAAGGTGGTCAGCATTCTCAAGCTACTCCAGTGAAATGGATTTTTCAAGAAAATCTACAGCCGTGTACTCCATCTCTTGTTCCTGTTAAATCTTCAAATAATGTGGCATCAAAAATTTTAAAAAGTTTTGTAGATAGGAGAAGTTTGGGAGATAATTCTATAAGTATGCCACCATTGAGTACCATCGTCCCTAGTGGGACACAATCTATAAGTGTGCCTAAAAAAGATAATGCATTGGTTATGTTTAATGGGAAAGTCTATCTATTGGCTAAAAAGGGGACAGATGCTCTGCCTTCACAAATTGACCAACAGAATTCTGTTTCTGTTGATGCTTCATTAAGAAAAGACACATCACAGGTAGTGAGTTCAAGTTCAGTCACAGAAATATCCAAAGAGGTTGTAAATATTGTTTTAGCTAAAAGTAAATCATTCCAGATGGAGATAAAATCACTTTCAAATACTCAGCTTTCTTCCACGGTCAATCTAAGTTCAGAGAAGACTAAAAAAGTGGAGAAACCATCTCTTTCTACCACAAACTCAAATACTATGAACCAATCCAGTAACTACCCAAAACAGAGTAAGACCTTATTCACAAAACCACTCTTTCCAGATGGATTTAGTACAGGACAGAGTGCCCTAAGAAAAGGAAATATCATCCAGAGCATAGAGAAAATAAGTTCCTCTGTTGATGCAACAGCTGTTACTTCACAACAGTGTGTTTTCAGAGACCAAGAACCAAAGGTAATTTTTCCATGTCAGGATATTCTTATATATCTATATAGAAAATTTTCCTTTCTTAATTCTCGCACTTGCCTATGATACCTGTCTCCCCCCTACCCTACATCATCACACACATAATTAAGTCAAAGCTTTCATCTGAGTAAAAACTTGAGTACAATTGAGAGTCCAAGCAGTATCTTTTTCTTAAATCATTTGGCCTGCAAATCTTTCATACAAAATCGAACAAAAATCACAGAACAAGGTTAGGAGAATTAGAGAAGGATAATATGACTTCAAAAAATTAGTAAAATTGTGTATATATACATACATGCACATATATGTACACATACATATATATATATATATATAGTGGCCTACTTTTAGTATGGGAGGAGATAAGTATGCATATAAGAGGGCTGGGATTTTGTTTTCTGTTTTTGTGTGATATTGGTGGGGAGACATTCGACAGCTTTTTTAGGCATGATGAAAAGTGGAAGAGGGCTAGTAACCTTTTCGTCATTTGTAGAAATAGATTCTATTGGCATCTTTGGTAGGATTTTGTTGCTTTTGTTATGCTTTTTTTGTAGGCAATTTTTTCCTTTTTAAAATCTAATTCATCCATCTACTCAACATACTCACAAGCAACATACACAGTACCTTTCTGTTCTGAAGTTAGTGTGTGTGTATGCTTACTAAATATTTGTACTCACCTTTTCATTGCTTATGTAGAGGTAATGTCAGTATTAGGTAATGCTACTTCGTAATGTCAGTATTTTCCCCTTCAGTACAGAATTTATTGAGCTCCAGAGATGTAAAGAAGTAAATTCTGATAAGTACAGGATTGATTAAAGACATCTGAGTTTTCCAGGAAACTAGTTTATAAATATTGCTACGTAGATTATTATTAACTTGCCATTAGTGTCTGTTCTCATTTCAGTTGATTGAAAATGGACCACCTGTTACTCTTTAGTACAGCAAATTAAATGGGAAATTGTAGAGGAATGTTTTAATTTGCATTCATTTAAATTCAATTTTTGAATGTAGGTGGTAAGATAAAAGTAATGCAAACCTTTAAAGCATGATGTATTCTCATGGGAGATTGAATAGTCACTTAGTTGCCAGTCTGATAAAATAACTTGAGTAATTACCAGCATTCTTTGTGTTTTCTTTTCTTAATTCCAGATTCAGAATGAGATGGCATCAACATTAGAAAACTGTACTCAAGGAAGCAAGGAGGAGAAAGACTCTCAAGAAAGCATTAATAAGGCATCACATTTGAAGAGTGATGCTGAATTTAAAAAGATATTTGGTCTCACTAAAGAGTTGAGAATTTGCCTTACTCGGATTCCTGACCATTTGCGCTCTGGAAAAGGATTTGATTACTTTAGCAGTTTGGTGAAGAGTGGTACATGTAAAGAGACAGTGTTTGTGGTGAAGGAAGAGGAAAACAAACAGGTAATAACAGATTTTAAAGTGTCTTTTGTAGGTACTACAAAGATAAACGGATGTATTAGTTTTTTGATTTGCTTTTGAGTCTTGTGCAGTTAGTATGAATGATGATTGTTAGCAAGTTTACAAATACATATACCAAAACAGTGTTTAAAAGAGCAATATATGCACAGACAAAAATGCATCCCCTTTTAAGATTTTAAGTTATTGTTCAACTACTGTTTTTTCTTTCCATTGTAACAAAAATGGCTATAGTATTTTAACTAATTATCCTACTTTGGAGACTTTATATAAATGTAACCTGGCAAATTGAAGTATTAATCGAATACATTTTAAGCAACCTATGTAGCCATTAATAATGGAAAGAAATATCTCTATAAGTTTGCCTTTTATTACTATAAAATGAATGTATCATGATTTAGTATTCCAAACTTCAACCTTTTCAAATGAAAATTTCCACATGTGCCTACTCTGCAAAGAAAAAGAAAAAAATCAGTTTTATTTCTCAAGTACTTCACGTGCTATTATATTTTAGTGGTAGATCAGTATGGCTTTTAATATATGACTTGAGCAGTTGAATTAAGCAGAGACTGTGATTAGATACCACACAGTGAGACCCATTTCTTTTGTGCTGTAGTTATCCCCAGGAAATTTCATTGAGTTCAGTTTAATAGCTAAATATGTGTATCTACAAACTTTGTTAAATTTGAGAGTACAGTATATTATATATAAGCATATGGCAATAACTTTTTTAAATCTTATTCCACATTGCAATAGAATTTTGGTAAGAAAAGAAAAGCAAAAACCATTAAGAAGATGGATCATACAAAGAAGAGAAAAACTGAGAGTGCTTTCAACAGAGTCACTAATGGGGAAACAAATGTCACCACTTCTGAACCCCTTAGTATTTTGCCAACTTCAGATATACCACAACATAACATTCTCCCAAGCCAAAGCAAAACCAGAGAAGAAAAGAGAACTGATATAAAACACTGTTCCCAAGAGAAGCAGCAGAAAGGTGCACTGAACTCAAATGTAATTTTTGACCAAAGTCATTCCTTTAATAAAAGTTATACTGAAGATATTTTCCCAGTGACACCACCAGAACTGGAAGAAACCATCCGAGATGAAAAAATAAGAAGACTTAAACAGGTGTTGAGAGAGAAAGAAGCAGCTCTTGAAGAAATGCGTAAGAAGATGCAACAAAAATAACAAAATGTCCTATACTTAAAGACTTCAATGAAATAACTTTTTAAAATAGGCCTTTTTAAAATTAATAAAGTAGTTGCCCCATATCTACCAGGGATATAGTCCATGACCCACAGTGGATATCTGAAACCGAAGATAGTACTGAACCCTGCAGTTCCTTGACAGCCACTCCAATAACTGAGACAGCTACTTAAATACCAATGTGGATACCATGGACAAAGGTGTGATTTATGTTTTGAGCAGAACAGTATAAGATTTCATTGCACTACTCAGAATGACATTCAACTTAAACCTAGGAATTATTTCTTCCTAGAGTTTTCCATTTAGTATTTTGGACACCACTGAAATAAAAACTAAAGAAGGACTACTGTAAGTTACTTATAGATGCATTCTGAAAGTGTTTTTGAATATAAAACTTGATTTTTCATCAATTGATTATAAAATTTTATTTAAGGAACACAGAAAAGCTTGATTCACATGACATATGACTAATATACATGGGGTACGTGAACCATTGTCTTTAGATACCTTTTTTGGAAGGAAAAATGCTTTATTTTTCTATTGTCCTAACTGAAGTTTGGGTACTTGCACAGGGTTTTTGTTATTGTATCTTTAGCTAAATTTCTCATGTGTTACACTAACAGTTGTTTTATATATATATATATGTATATATATGCACATATATATATACATATATATATATACACACACATATCTATATATACATATATATATACACACATATACTGTTGAAATTCTGCAATTCAAGAGAGGAAGTGAGTTGTAAACATAACTTTATCATTGAGTTTGTATATGTACTCTTGATCATCTTACCCATAAAATGATGATACTTTATATTCACCATTGTTGTTTTAATTTCATGAAATATATTACAGCAGCATTATTTAAATGTCGAGATATTTCTCAAGTGTGAAGGATACTTATTTTATAACTCTACAAAGTTATTTTGTAAATCTAAAACAGTATTTAGAATTCAGGCTATTTGGGTGTTTATTGTTGGCTTGAAGTGATGTATTATTAGGCAGCAATTCATTATCTTTCTCCATTTCCTTTTTTTATATATGTGGATATGTTAAATAGCATGCAAAGTAGATCTGAACATGTTTAATAATTTTTAACCTGTATACTTTTCTTAATAGAGCCATACAGTTTTCTGTCTGGCTAATCTTTGATTTGGGAGAGGTTGTGAGAGTAGTGTGGGCATAGAGATCAAGAAGGGGAGAATTTTAAAAATGATTAACAAGTCAGAAATAAGACATTTAAGAAAAACTGTACAATGGTGATAAAAGAAATAGTAGAAAACACTGAACAGGAGTGAAACACATCAATCAACTGGATTCCTTTTAGTAGCAGCTTTATTGAGATATAATTCACATACTATAAAATTCACCCTTGTAAAGTGGTTTTATTCAAAGATGTGCAGCTATTAATACTTTAGAACACTTTTAGCATCCTCAAAATCATGCCCATTAACAATCACTTCATTCCCCATTCCCCCATCTAAGCAACACACTGTTTCAGAGGAATTACTTATTGTGGACATTTTGTATACATGAAATTATATATTTACTTTTGTAACTTTTTTTAACTTAATATTTTCAAGATTTTTTCACATTGTAGCATGTATAGGTACTTCACTATTTATTGCCAAATAATATTCCATTGCACTGATACAGTGATTCCTCAGTATCTGTGGAGGATTGGTTACAGAAAGAAACTCCAGGATATCAAAATCTATGGATGTTCAAGTCCCTTATATAAAATGGCATAATATTTGCATATGTTACATTCTCCTGTATAATTTAAATAATACATAGATTACTTATAATACCTAGTACAATGTAAATTCTATACATATAATTACACTGTCTTGTATAGAGAATAATGACAAGGAAAGAGTGGATATATTCCGTGCTGATGTAATTTTTTTCTGAAATTTTTGATGCAGTGTTGTTTGTGTTACAGATAAAGTGAGCTGTTTGTACCACACTTAATTGTTCATCTCTTATAGGCATTTGGGTTGTTTCTGCTTTGGGCTACTTAAAATATTTCTATGAATGTTAATCTACAAGTTTTAGTGTGAACATGTTTTCAGTTCTCTTGGGTATATACTTAGGCATTTAATTGTTGAATCACACAGTAAATCTTATGTTTAACATTTTGAGGCACTGCTAAATTATTCTAGTCAGGTTTTGCTCCCACAACTTCACTAAAACACATCTTGTCAAAGTCACCAGTAATTTCCATGTTACTCTGTCCCTAGGTTAGTTATCAAGCTTCATAGTTCATCAGTAGAACATGATTTCACAAATCATTACTTCCTTTCATAAATGTATAAAGTATCGCAGAAGTAAAGTATGTATATTATAGAAAACTAGAAAATATAGCAAGCTAAAATATTAAAAATTAAAATACTCAAATTAAAATATCACTTCCATCATTGAAAATTTATCACAAGACTTTAATGTATTTTCTGATCTTTAAATGTGCTCCCTCCATCTATATATATTTGTGTGCATATGTGTGTGTGTGTGTTTGTGTGTGTGTGCACTACCAGAATAAGGTTCTTATACTGTTTTGTGTCCCACTTTTAAAGTCAACAGTCTTCAGCTCTTCCTCTGATTAAGGTTTCATCTTTTCTAAGATTGATGCCAAATTCACCAGCTTGATTCCAGAATACGATGTATAGCTGTCTCCACAACACTGTCAGATTTAGGCCTATCCATTTTAACTGGTTGTTACACTCTATAGTTTTTTCAATTTAATACATTTTATAAAATGCATTGATTTTTTTGTTTGTTTTTACAAAGACCAGCCAGTTATTCTCTTCTTTGATGTACTTTTGCCTCCAGAAGAGTATACTTATATATACTTCATTATACAGCTCATTCTCAGTTTTTTAATTTGCCTTTCTGCTTCTATTCACTTTTTTGGTGACTTCATCCAGTTTCATGGCTTTAAATGCTACATGTTGACAAGTTACAGCTTTTTATTTTCAGATTTCTCTTATATTCCAAATTTGTTTAGCAAACTGCCTATTTAAATCTCTATTAAGTGTCTCAATAAATATCTCAATAAATAAATACCCAGACTGAAATAATGCTCTTTTTCCAAGCCCCCTTTACCTATCATTATCCCCATTTTAGCTAATGACAACTTCATTGCACCAGTTACTCTGGTCAAAAAAATTGTCATACTTGTTGGGTTGGTTCTGCTTTCACAATACTCCAAATGTGACCAATTTCTATCCTCAATGCAATGATTATCACTGGAATAGATTATTAGTAGCCTCATAAATGGTCTCCTTTCTTCCACTGTTGTGCCCCTACAACCTCTAGTTATCTTACAGCAGGAGGGCCAGAGATCCAAAGTGACCAATTTGAATTAGGTGCAGCTCTTTTAACTTCCTTTATGTACTATTACAGTTGTTTAAGCTATTGTTTTTATATAGCTAGGGAGGTCAACATTCTTACCTCAAAAAGTTAAGATCTGAAGGAAAAGCAGTAATTAAATGAGATAAGTGAAAGAACTTTCCCAACAGAGGAGATAAATCTAAAGGTTCTAAGGCAGGATATATATATATATATATATAAAGTCCTGTTTAACTGCTGAGTGAGTATGGTAATACAGGCTAGAAGGATAGGTTTAATTGCTGTAGAGATTGTTGAGGCAAGTTGGTCTTTATTTTTTTGGAGCATAATGTGATTTTACTATGTGGACACGAATAGTGCTTTGTCCTTATACTTTAATTAAAACATGTTAGGTTCTAATTTTTCTGCTTCTGATATTTATAGAATATTTATCTTCATAGAGTTCAGCACTCACTTGGATCCCTTCCTTAACACCATAAGTTCTTTCACCTGCCTACACAGGGCTTCTTTCAGCTCAGAAGTTTCTTTCTGTTAGGTAGACCCATATGTTATGGACTCTCATTCAGGGAGACAAATGAGCCTCATCTCATTTTTATTTCTTACTGTTGAAATTGTTTCACTTCACTATTTTTAGAGCACCATTCTATTTTTACTTTTTTTCATTTAGTTTCTGCTAATGTGTATTGTCTCCTTTTATGATTTTTTTCAGATGTACACTTGTGGCTTTTGACCCTACTCTGCTCCAAGGATAAGTCCTGATTTGTCTAAATCAGAGGCTCCCAGATTTTCTTGGTTCCGGGCACTTTTAGTATTTTACATGTTTATTCTTTGGACCCCTAGACAAAAGGAATACCTAACAGTTCTCTTTACTAACTAGTTAGGTTTAGACAACTCATTTTTCTATTTGCTGCATAACACATTAACAACTTACCAGTTTAAAACAATGCCTGTTATTTTGTGGTTCTCTAGATCCAAATAGGCTTATTTGTTTTTTTTCTAGGCTCTTACATAGCTGAAATGAAGGTCTTACCCTGGCTGACTCTCTGTCTGGAAGCACTGGGGAAGAATCTTTTAAGGTCATTCAGGTTGTTGACAGAATCTAGTTCCTGATGGTTGTAGGACTGATGATGCTCTTTTCTTCCAGGTAATGTCAGTGGAATACTTAGTTCTATCCCTTGTGGGTTACTATAGCTTCAAAGTCAGCACTGGTACATGAAATTCTTTGACTTTTGCCTCCAGCTGTAGAAAATTCTGCTTTTAAAGTGTTCATGTGATTGGATTAGGCCTGCCCAAATGAGCTGTGTTTTGCCATATAATTTAGTACAAGCACAGTAATATATTCTATTCCAGGTCTTTTCCCCAGTCAAAGAAAAAGTAAAGGTCATGGGTGAAGGTTATTTGAATTCTACCTTCTTCATGATCTAGAAATTGAAGAAAAACGTTTCTATTTCATCTTTTTTTTTTTAAGCCTTTAAAATGGTGTGACAATTGGGATCCTGCTCAACTCAAGCTTTGAAATTAAATTACACACTGCCACCTCAATTACTGTTCCACACTAATTGAAATACAGTACATTTTATCACAGCAATTTCCAAAACACTGGATTTACAAAGATCTGAAATAAAGCATAATTTAATGTTGAAGATGTAAACTAAATTAGTAGTTCATGTACACTCAAGCTTATCTAATCACCCTAAAAGATTAAGATACCGCATATGTGAGCTGTCCTTGCTATAATGTGTACCTGAGATAATTGACTTAGCAAAGGTTTATTTTGGCTCACAGTTTTAGAGGTGTTGGCCCAAGGTTGATTGGTTCTGTTGTTCTTGGACCTGAGGGGAGGTAGCCCATTACAGTAGGGAGCACATGGCAGAGCAAACTGCTCACCTCATGACCAGGAAGCAAAACGAGGAAAAGACTAAAGTTGGTCTAGTCAAGTTCTCCATCTAGTCAAGTTCTCCTGTGTCCATTATATTGCTAAATCTAACAGCTAAGCCTTCATCTTTACCTCTTAGTAGCATTTGATACTTTTGTTCCATCTGTCATTATTGAAATGTATTTTTTACTCTTCTTCTGGGATACATTATTACTCATTATTTCCCTAATACCTCATTTACTACTTTTTCTAAATCTCTGGCTAATTTCTCCCCTTCTCCATAGTCTCTTAATGGATTTACCTATTGGCTTGATCTTATTGTTTTACATCTCTAAGGTGATGATTTCATTTGATTCTTAAGGATCAAAATATCCACCTCTGTCTGGACTTTAAAAATTGGATCATAGGTGTAAAATTGTGAGCTGTAGGAAGCATGTACTCACAAGTTGCTCCAGAATATTAATCCAAAGCAATAGGTATGTGGCTCTGTGAGAAGCTAGGGGTACACAGGAAATTGTAGAACTACATTGTAAGAGAGCTAGCAATTGGAGGAAATCCTAAAATACTAGTAATTAGGTAAGTCTCTGAAGTAACACATTCTGACACTTAACAAGTGGCAGCTCAGAGTTGGGGGGAGGGGGGATGTTTCCCTTCCATGTAGTGGTAAAAGGAATAACAACATTATGTTATGAGAACTAGCTTTGTTACAATCCAAGCAGACAGGAGGCATGACTACAGCCAATTGAATAGAGATGGGTATAAAACTTTCCATCTTTTCTCTCAACATTTAGACAAGGTTGGATTGGAAAGTCATCTTAGTAGTTCCCTACCCCTTGCCTCAGTACAACAAATAGGAAATGGTCTTAGTTTGACACGGGGCAGGAAGCCATCTTGAACAACTCTGAATAGGTGCAGAAAGTTGTGACATTTTTCAGAACTCCAAGATGAAAGTATGACTGTGTTACAGGGAGAAAAATGACTACCTTCCCTAATAATTAGAATAGGCCCAGGCAAAAGGTAACTGACATGGTAAAACTAAAATCATGAGATCAGAAGAGAGACACCACCCACCAGTTTGTGGGAGACAAGTAGGCCAGCTCTAGAATTCTGGTGGTACACATTGTGAAACAAGTGGTTTGAATGTAGTGGCCAGCAGTGAATTCAACCAAATGACATTTTGTAGTGGGAGAGTTGATTTGAGTGCAATACTGCAGGAACTAGTGAAAGGCAGAATACCAATGGGTCCTGGAAACAGTCCTTGTGCATACATCCCCTATCTGGTCTGTTTGGATTCATTCAGACTGAAGACAGAATTGTACAGACACTGGCCAGCAATACCTCCAGAAGTACATCTTGGAAATTTAATGCAACACTAGCCAATGGTCCAGACCTGCCTATGGATTACACAAGTGACAGAATTGGAAGAAAGTCTGGATTGTTCTAATGCCCTCACTCCTAGGTAGAGAAGTATTTAAAAAAGTCAGTAAGTGGAATGTAATTCAGCCACTTCCCAACCTACTAGACTTTCCATCCACAACCCTAGGGAGGTGAAGATTAGCCCCATGTAAGCCCTGTAAAACCTCTTTAATTTGGACTGAGAAGGAAGAGAATTCTGGACTTAGATGCCATTGTTAATACCAACACAAGAAGGATTATTGGACCAATTTTTTTTCTTTTTCAGTTTTTAAGGTGTTCCTTTTTGTAAACACTGGAGGGATGTTTGTATATTTATAATTTATGAG